TTGAACAACAGACTTGTATATGAATGAACAGAGGATTGTGTATGTTATGGCAGAAAAAAGAATAAGGGTTTCCTGGGGGTTATGGTGGGGGGGAGGGAGGGACCAAAGAGGAGCTGATATTAAGGAGTTTCAAGAAGAAAGAAAATGTTTTGAAACTGATTGTGGTAGTACTTGTACAACACTGCTTGATGTGACTGAATGGTGGAATGTTATGCTATCTGTACGGGCTCTCAGTAAAACATTAAAAAATAAGTAATGTACTAAAGTCTCCTATGCTTATTATACAATGCTCTATTTCTCTCTTCAATTCTGTAATCCTTTCATTAATGTATTTTGACGATCTGTCATTGGGCACATATTTATTATGATTATGTCCTTTTTATTCAATTGATTCTTTAACCATTATTTAATGACCTTTTTATCTCTTATTCTGAATTTTAGCTTAAAGACTATTTTGACAGAAATTAATGTAGCCACTTTTGCCCTTTTTGATTGCCCTTAGCTATATATATATACAAATTCTTTATCTTCTAGTTTATTTTAGTCTTTATATATATGTGTCTTGTAGACAGTATTTTTGGGTCCTGTTTTCTTGTCCATTCTTCTGCTTTTTACCTCCTGATTAGTGCATTTAATCCATTTTCATTCAGTTTAATTATTGATAAGTGTAATTTTGTTGTGTGTTTTTCTGTGGTGCTACTTTTCTTTATTCCATATAATTTTCTGTGCTGAGTTCATTTTGTTTGAGGGTTTTCTGGTCATTTATTCATTGGTGTTGTTTTAGTATTTACTAAATATTTATGATTTTCCTATTTTTCATTTTGATGAGGGTTATTCACTTTCTTTTAAGTTATCTTGCAATTTATTAAAATTCTTTCAAGTTTAAAAGTCTTCTCGTGCATAGCAAATGTGGTGAAGAAAGCTGATGGTGCCAGGCTATCAAAAGATATAGCCTCTGGGATCTTAAAGGCTTGAAGACAAACAAGTGGCCATCTAGCTGAGAAGCAACAAAGTTCACGTGGAAGAAGCACACCAGCCTGTGTGATAATGAGGTGTCGATAGGATCAGGTATTAGGTATCAAAGACCCAGAACAAAAAATCATATCATTGTGAATGAGGGGGAGAGCAGAGTGGGGACCCAAAGCCCATCTGTAGGCAATTGGACATCCCCTTACAGAAGGGTCATAGGGAGGAGACGAGCCAGTCAGGGTACAGTATAGCAATGATGAAACATACAACTTACCTCTAGTTATTTAATGCTTCCTCACTCCCACTATCATGAACCCAAATCCACCTTACAAATCTGGTTAGATCTGAGCATGTATATGGGTACAGATAAGAGCTGGAAACACAGGAAATTCAGGACAGATAAACCCCTCATGACCAATAATGAGAGTAGACATATCAGGAGTAGAAGGGGAAGGTGGGGGGTGTGGGAGAAAGGGGAAATCGATCACAATGATCTACATATAACCCCCTCTCTGGGGGATGGACAATAGAAAAGTGGGTAAAGAGAGACATCGGTCAGTGTAAGGCATGAAAATTTTTTTTTATAAATTATCAAGGGTTCATGAGGGAGGGAGGGGAAAAATGAGGAGCTGCTACCAAGGGATCAAGTAGAAAGAAAATGTTCTGAAAATGATGATGGCAACAAATGTACAAATTTGCTTGACACAATGGATGTGTGTGTGTATTATGATAAGAGCTGAATAAGCCCCCCAATAAAATGAATGAAAATATAAGAATAACCAGTCTGCTCTATCTTATATTGACTTGACTTCCTTTCCACTTAAAAGTTCTATAGCTATCCTTTAAAAAATACCCTGTAGACATAACGAATCAGAGCACATGGGAGCAGATGAAGGGGGAGGAGGAGAGA